GGGGGCGCTATTGTTCCATCTTTAGATGCTCTCCTGATTGAGTTTGTTGACTTTAGATGCTCTCCCAATCAAATTGCTGACATGTCCACATGGGTGCCATTTATTACCTCCCCACCAAAGTGGTACCTAGTTTTTGGACTGCTGGTGAGCAAAAGCGGGGCTGATGGTTGGGATCTCACCCCAGCCTGGGCTTGATCTATCAACCTTTTGATCAGCAAAATTTTCTGATCTTGCAGTTTAATCCACTTTACTACAGCCCTCTGTGCTAAAGATAAAGCAACATGTTTTACATTGCTTCATGCAGCAAAATGTATTAGACCAACCACATTCAGTCTCATGGCATGGAAACTGTTGTTGTTAATTTGATTTTAAAGATTTCTGACCTGTCATTCTGCAGTTCTTTCATCAACCTCATCTGTTAATATGTCAACCAGTTCATAACTACAGGAGATTTAGATTATCTAGCTGAACTTGTTTGTGACAGAGTACTGGAAGGGATCATGGTTTGTACAAGTCCATATCAAATACTTGTATTATATGTGTATCTGACTCAGGAACAAATACATTTATATTCATTTAAAAAAAACCCTAAAAAGCTCAGATGGGTTATCTATACACTTGCAACCTGTACAATAATTGAAATGCTATATATAACCTTACAATGGGTTTTTCAAAAAGATGATGATGATGATGATTTTTTATTGAAGAGTATCAGAACATTACGTTGGGTGTTTATTTTTTTCATATGAATGAAAATAAAAATACTGAAAATAGAACATTACATTATCAAAATCAATACAGTGTTTTATTTCCTCCAGAAAGCAGATTAAGAACTGAGCAGTGTTGCTATAAATGTACCTTTAGTATAAGCATTTTTAACACATTAGAGCAGAGGTCCCTTGGGGGTCCTTGGAAAGATTTCAGGGAGTCCATGAGCTTAAACTGAAAAGAAACAACATTATTTTTTTAAATTTTCTTTGACCTCTAACTTTAGTTATGACTCTTATGTAATAAATTCACAGTAGTATTCATTTCATATTACCTTGCATATTGGATATCTCAAGAAATTACTTACACTCATCCCCACTTCAAAATTACTCTAGTAACTCTGTCCTGGGAAGCCAGAATGGCATCCACTCTATTGTCCTGGCAGCAGGCTAAAATCCTTTTATTCAGGCAGACTTTTAAAGAAAATTTTAAGATCAAGTTGGAGTGCTGCGGTTTTTAACTTTGAACATGTTTTAATGGATTTTAATTGTGAATGTCTCAATACCATTGGTGTTTAATTTTGTTTTAATATTTGTACATTTTAATATTTGTTGTATTGAAATGCTTTAAACGTAATCTGCTTTAAGTCTCATTGTGGAGATAAAATGTGGGAGAGAAATAAATAAATGAAGAATACCTAATGTTAGATCACATGATTACAGTCCTGTTGTGTAAAAACTATTGTACAACATGTTGATGTTGCTTGTCAAAAAACTATCTGCTGCTACATTCTAAGAAAGGGTCCATGGTTTTGATTTGATTGGCAAAGAGATCTATGGAACCAAGAAGTTTCAGAACCCCTACCGTATAGAATAGCATTCCCATTGACTTGTGAAGTGCTAATCTGAGAGGATGGATTCTGAAGCACTGAGGACCCTTCCAGACAAGGCAGAAATCCAGGAAAATCAGGTTAAAATAACCCACTTTCTCGTGGGTTTCTGTCTTCACCCCAACCCAAACTCTAAGATTTCCCTTGCGGGGTGGCTAGATGATATCCTGGGTCAACCAAAGGTTGACCTGGGATGGAATCCAGCCCACTTCCAGTCTCCCATCCCCCCCCCCCCTAAAAAAACTTACTGAAGGAGCCTGCCAGCTGTGCACGCTGTTCTGCAGAATTTCTCCTCCCCCTACCTCCTGATGTGTCATTTTTGCACATCAGGAGTACTCTGCAGAAGGGCCTGTGCTGCCATCAGAGCCCTCCAGTAAGTTTTCATGGGAAAGGAGGGGGTGCCCTCCCACTCCTTCAGGCTCCAGGAGCCCAAAGAACTGGGATGGCTGCATGGATTGACTCTCGGCACTGCGGAAGCAGTACCAGGAGACAATCCTCACAGTCCTGGAACCTACAAATATCTGTACCATATCTTAAGGTCTGGATCTTTCCAGATGTCAAATTCATGCTGAATAAACTGGGAAATCCCAGTTTACTCTGCATTAATCTAGGTTTACCTGAGGTGTTGTTTGGATACCCTTAGGCAAACCTGATGGCTATCACGAGTTATTGGGCCTGTGTAGAAGATACCCGGAGTCTTCAGGAAACAATATTTGGAGGTAGTGGTCAAAGAAAGTTTTGTGTGAAGTGACACAGTTTTGTTATAAAGCTTGCAACGTTTCTTTTTATTTTCCTTTCAGCAAAATCTCTGGTGTCATACTTGTGCTTGTTACCTGGTTTGTATTGGAAAAAGAATGTGTGCATTTCCCAGGGTGATACTCTTTAATTAGGAGGAAAAGATTGGTCTGGTGTTTGCTCTCTGCCCTGATGACACCTGATGGAAGCGTATTTGGATTGCGTACAAACACTGCCAAAGTGTCTGTCATTCCAGTGGGAATGTTCATTTTGAAGCATGTGTGCAGAAAGTGAGGCAGAAACTCATAAACCATACAGGAGGATGAACATTTTATGAATGCTACATATCCTACCTCAATTCTTCTTTTCTTTCAACTCCCTGATCAGAAGTGTCCATGGATGATGAGGTTTTTTTTTTAAACTTCTGTTTTCATCAGAATTAAGTACATTACCCTTATTCTTCTCTCACATTAAATTGTTAAATGAGGCACCAGGAAGGCAGAGGTGTGATTACCATGAGATAATGACACCCAGGGGTGGAAGAAACAAGTGTGAGTACTTGTTTCCTGCAGCACTTTCTTTGTTCGATTGTTGGGTAGAACTGGTGTGTTCCACTTTATCTTTTTTTAGTCTTTGCTGCTCAAAGGGATATTGGCTTCTTTCCATCATCCTCTGCTACTCTTTCTCAAAAATCTCTCTTTCCTGACAGCAAGGAGCAACCTGATTTCAAAAACAGAACCATAATCACTCTTTGCTGCGTGTTTCTGATTTGGAAGAGTGGGAAACATCAATTGATGCTTATACCATAGACACAAACTTGCAAGCCGATTTTAAAAAACCTATTAACCAAAATACCACATCATCTTTTGACCAGTTGTTGTTGATGATTAGGTGCTATTGCTGTTGTAACTGCAGCTGTAATTTACATAGGGTGCATCTTCACTGAAGAATGAATGCAGCTGGATATAACTTTAACCACTCTGATTCAGTGCTATGGAATATGGGTTTTAATTTTACAAGCTCTTTAGTCTTCTCTGCCAAAGAGTGATAGTGCCTTAACAAACTACAACTCTCATGAGCCATGGTCATTAAAGTAATGACAATCTGCATTGCTTCCTCAGTTTAGAGCAGTGGTTCTCAACCTGGGTTCCCCAGATGTTTTTGGCCCACAACTCTCAGAAATCCCCACCAGTTTACCAGCTGTTAGGATTTCTGGGAGTTGAAGGCCAAAAACATCTGGGGACCTCAGGTTGAGAACCACTGGTTTAGAGCCTGCCAACACAACAAATCTCTCCTATGTAACTTGGTATGAATATGTACTGGGCACAAATCTAACTGTAATTATTGTCACTCATTTTAAACACCATTTACAGTTCTCAACATTTCTTCTTGGCAATTTACTGTAATATGCAATGGGCTTTGTAGTTGCTCTCCCTCTCTAAATGTGTATGTGTAGTTGAGGATAGCTTAGTCCTCTTTCCAGTGGAGTCCCTATTCCTCTGTGTAATATGAACTCATTTCAGTGATGTTTTCTATTGTGTTGCTCATAGCTGCTGCTGTAACAATAATTATCACAGTGGACAAATGCCCAAGGAATTGTCCCAAATGCAAAAATAGAGGGCCTGATGCTTATTTCTTAAGATTGGGATGGGGAAGAATTTTTTTATTCATATTTTAATATGTTTCTTTCTGATATCAAATTTAAACTCAATAGTGACAATGAACATCTGTTATTCCTGAGAACCTGTCCTTTTTCAGTTTTGCAATTGAGTTTTCTATTTTTTTAATCTACCTACAAATGTGCATATGAGTGAAATGTGGATATAAAACTGCATCATATTAATGAAAACATTGTTCCTAAATGCCTTATATTAGAAAGAAAACATGCTTGCAGAAATGTGTATGGTGAGCAGAATTACTTATAAAACCCACACAATAATTCCACATCCAAAAAACCACAAATATGTTTAGCATATTTTTTTTAATAAAAACCCTTCAAATTTCAGAGATTAGTTGAATTTAAGACTAAATATGAGAAGCTGAAATTGACATTCACCTATTGCAACTAAAATAGAGTCTCGCTCAGTCATTAGTTTCAAGTTGTTCACCATGTATGATTTTTTTAAAAAAATATGTTATTAGTATACCCCTACCCCATGCTAGACTGTTGTTAAAAATGAACAACAACAAGCTTAATGTGGAAAAAACTAAATGTCCTCTGACATTCTGGGGCATCTCTTCACTTTTCCTGGTCCTAGTAATTGCTTTAGAGATGGAATGCAATGAACTGTGCTGAGATTAGAAAACAACCTACTTGGCAAGGTACTTGAAGAGTGCGAGGTAAGGCAATTGTATTACCTGGCCAGAATCTTAGCAGTTGAGATGAGTTATAAATTTCATAAATACATTTCCTGTATCCAGGCATCACTTCATGCTGTATATCAGTGTTCTGCTCTTATTACCTGCATGCTTGACACACTACACTAATTTTAGAACACACAAATAAAACCCAACACACATTCTACAAGAGGTTAGAAAGAATGTGGGTTTCTGTGTAGCACTATCTTAGCAAAACCTGTCAGTATATCAATTGCAATTGGAGGTCAGTGATGAGAAAGTACTCTTTTTATAGATTTATAAAGTGTTCTTTTTTCTTTTCCTCCATTAGATATAAAATGTGTGGCTCCAGCAGTCAATTGTGAAGATCAGCAAAGTGAACCATTTCCTCACTTTGCATTTGATGATGTAAGTGACCTCTGACCAATGGACAGCTGAACCATGGACAGGATAAAAAAACCTTTCTGGACTGTTTTGTTAAATCAGTCCTTTCCTTCACCCATGGAAGCCTGTTAACAGATTACAGTAAGAAAAAAAGGAAGTGGAGACGGGAAGAAAGCACCTTGAATTGGAAAGCGATCCTACAATGAGAATTACGAGTACTTCTTGTATCTGCCCAGTCCTAGTTTGTCTCTGTTTTGTGCAGAGGTGTTATGGAACTGCACATCATGGCTCCATCAAGGTGACCAGAAACCAAACCAAACATATAGAAGGGGAAACGGAAGTGCACCATCGTCCCAAGCGTGGATGGGTATGGAACCAGTTCTTTGTTTTAGAAGAGCACATGGGACCAGATCCACAGTATGTTGGAAAGGTAACATCTATTTCCATTTTGCATTCTACTGAATTGTAAATAACAAACAATATATTTGAGCAGTTGAGACCAGAGTTATAGAAAGTTACTTTGGGAAACACAATTTTGTTTGATTCTGAAAGGTGAAATCCTCTCCTAAAAGTAATTTCTCAAGACTCATACAGTAATGTCATATTACAACAAAAGATAGCACTGTTTGTTAAATGAGCATTTGTAAAAATGCATGTATCAGTAAATGTGTTACATTTTGGAGACATATTTGCTGACAATCTAATCAGTTTGCATACATTTTCTCCTAAATACACGCTCAAGTTTAGATTTGCTGAATGTTTTTATTTTTCCTCTGTGAGCTATACCAGTTTATGGAAGTTTTTAACAGATGTACAAGAAAACTAGTCTATGAATTGGATATGGGTTGACCTTATCTTGCATGCTATTAAACATGTATGAGAAATTACTAGAAGGGATTGTCTGGGAACGTAGAGTTATTCTCATCAGTATGCTGACAACAGCTCTATGTTTCCTTGCTATCTCATTCTGGGAAGAATGTAAAGTCAATTAGTAGGGAATAAATATGGACAAGAGAGAGATACTATTGATTAGAAAATCTACTGGCTTATGTATAGGATGTGAGCCTTTTGTGAATAAAGTTTGGACTTTAGGATCAGTCCTGTACCTGACTTTACTACTGGATGCTCAGTTGAAAGTAGTTGTCAGATATACTTTATCCAGCTTTGACTAGTGGTTCATTTATTCCCTTTCCTATTCAAAACTGTACATTTATTTAGTTTAGATTGTTGGTTATTTAAAGCTCTCAGTAGCTTGGGGCCAAACTACATGAAGATCCTGTTCCTTGTGTACCAAACATTTTCATTTCKCCCCCCCCCCCCCGGTGTGGTGGCAGTGTCCAAGACACAAAGTACCCTGACCCAAATGCCTAAGTTGGCTTTGTCTTCAGTGCAATTTCAGTGACATTTGATCACTGTGATGCATTTTCACTTGCAGATCCCAATCTCATAGGTTCTTCGGATCAATGAGATTTGATCAGCACTTGGTTCAATGCATTTACTTGAGCTGGGATTAGTGGTTGATTTTTTGTCCTTTTCCCTTTCAGCAGTTTTTAGTCACTTTGTATTTTAAGTTTGAAATATAATCCATTGGATGATTGAATGGTATTTTATAAATTTCCATACAATTGTTGAGGGGTTTTTTGGGTTTTTTTTTTTACTATAATGATATGGAATACCATTGTTTTCACTTTCTCTCCTGAAGCCTAACAGGAACTTTAAGCGCCTCTGTAAAGCACATAGAGTTGCTAAAACATTGTTAAGTGGAAATATTAGAATAACTATAATAATAAAATAATATGAGGTATACTTTACCTTGACTGAAAAAGAATTGACAGAATTGGATACACTTTTATATTAATAGTAAATTTCAGCATTTCTGCCAAATTATGTTCCATATGACAGTTTACTGACACTGAATGTTGGACATTGATTGAAAGCCTTGTGCTAACAGCTGGTGCAAAGGTAGAAACCATCAATGTAATAATATTCAGTTTGTGCTTATTGGTGATACTGGAAGTACAAGTATCTCATTGATCACACAGAAATACTTCAGAGGAGAAGAGGACCTGAGTGTAAACCTATAACAAGAAGAATATTAATGCTGTATTTAAAAAAAAAACAGTATGCAGAACTGACCTTAGAATGATTCTTGAGTTCTCTGCAACAACTTTTATACATGGATAGATTTTTTTCCATAGGCTTAACACTCTGGAGTTTAAATCATATGCATTTTAAAATGCTTAACTGATACGATTTGATTTGACAAGATCATAGGCAATTCAATATTTTGAAAAAGGAGTTAAGGGATTAAGTTACTGGACAAGAGTGAAGAAAATACTGATATACTAGTATATAACAACTTTTCAATGTGAGGGTGCCTTAATCTGTTTCAACATAAAAAAGATAATATGAAAGTGAGCAGGTGGGAAAAAAGAATTGTGAGCAACTTTGAGACTAACTTATTAATGTTAACATGAATTTTCATGGATTTCAGTCCATGTCTTCAGATGCATAGATGGGGTACCGTATTAAGCTGCAGATATTTCAATAGTTCCAAAGATTTTCAGGCAATTTCTGCTCTAAAACATAAACAGATCCCTCCTCAATATTTGGAAATGTGCATCCCAAGCTATTACCACAAATGCCTAAAAACCTCTCTCAGAATAGCAAGAAAGATGCATTTGACTCTCTGTTGCCATTTTGAGATGGTCAACAGAGAAATTCCTCAACTTTCCTTTGCAATATCTCTCAAAATAGCAGCAGAAAGTGAAGGTCCCAGAGAGTGTTGTAACAACAGAAACATTTCACATACAATTTTTTAAAAAGTTATAGGAATGTTCATGAATTTCAAAAGAGATTTATGAAGATGTAGGGTGGTTCATATGTGTAGCTATATCTCTATTAAGATATATTTGTGACAGTACAGGTTGGCACACATAGCTTAAATGAATATCTATTATTCTTGGAACAGTTTTATGTAGGGACTGGGAAACCTTATGCAACAGACATTTCATACTATTTCTGTTAAGTCTTTGCTTGGAGAGAAAATATGGTAGATATCTTTCAAAAATTATATGTAATAATGAAAACCAAGTACAGGGCCTAATAGGGTTGACTCATTCCTGAGCCTACTGTTAAATTAGCCTCAAAATAACACCAGTCTTTCGTACCACAGCATCAGTTTTTGGCCTGTTCCATTTACTATTCAAATCATTAAGCAGAAACTCTCCTGCCATTAACTTGGATTTAAAGTGCAAATGCAGACACAAAATTTACCTTGCCAGTAATTTTGTCAAACTTGAATGTCTCTCTAAGTGTAGTGACAGAGCGAAGGCTAACAGAATGCAAATGTCAGCACTCTTTTTGATTACCAAAGAAAATGTTATTATCTGCCCCCTCCTCAATCTTCAAGAAGGAATGGAGAAGCATAACTCTTGTGTGTCCACAGTGCTTGTTACCTTTTGCAGTGTACGTGAATGAAGCAAAGGTGATGCATTAACTTGCACAGAGGATGAAAAAAGTGTGTGTGTGTAAGGACTTAATTATGCAAATCCACCCATGGTAGTAGCACCTTTCTCCACTTTGACAATAGCACCAAATCTCTGATCTCTGGTCCCACAACTTTTGCATACCCTGTAACCTTGCCTTCTCTAATTTTTATGAATTTTAAAGCCATTGAGCAGTTATAGCAGTGGTTACTTTATAGCAGTGGTGAGAAGAGGTGAGGCTGACATTATGCTTAGGAACACAAGGTTAGGTTTCTCTCCCCGTTCACTTGTCCTCCTTCTGCTGTTACTCTCGGTTTATTTGTTAGAAAGGAAAAAAAGTCACTGCAAGCCATGTCAAATGCATGCAGTAATGTATGCTGCCATAAGGTATTAGTTATAATATAATTAAGCATGGAAGCTCTTCGTGAGTAGATTAAATCACGTAAATCCTGAAAGAAATGTTAATTTCTTGGAAATTTCTTATTTATCACCTCCTCAGAGCCTTTATGGTCTTCCGAGGGTGTCAGCCATGCCTATTAAATGTATCCGAACATTTCCACATAACAAGCATTACACCACATTTTCATTTTAAATGAGGCAGTAAGAGGGATTGATTCTTAACCATATAACTCTTTAATCTTCTCAGGGAAAGTATTGTGTGTGTGGCCTATATGTCTTACAGGCATAATACTGGACAGAAGGCAGAAAAGAAAGTATCTTCACAGTGTGACAGTGAGATAATTTCATGGGGAGGATAAACTCCATCCCAGTTTATAATGGTGGTTACAACTAATATCCAAATCTATAATTAAACAAGCTCAGCAGCTGTTCCTTTAACATGGACTGTAATGTGACAAATAAAATGTCTTGTGTATCTCTCTAGCCTTACGTTTCCACACAGTACTGGAACAATTCTTCTGTACTTCTAGGGATCCCAATGTCATGCATTGAGAAAAAAATAGTATTACTACCCCTTCTTCTCAGCACCACTGCCATAATTTTTAATCTTTCATTTTCTTCAAAATGGGAACAGGTGTAACCCCCTTTTGTTGCAAACACAAATATATGAAATTAAGAGGCATGGCAATACATTCAGAATAGGTCATCCCTACCAAATTGCAGGCAGGTAGCTCCAGGCATGTGTCTGCGCATTTGCTTCCCACTGTTTTTCCCCCCACAAAAAAACCAAAAACATTACATGCATTTTTAAAGCCTGTGTAGTCAGCTGAGCCATTTCAGGCTGCTCTCTGCACTCTGATGTTTCTGAGATATTTATATGTATATCTGCTGTTTGCATAGCAAGACACTACATGAGTACAGTAGATACATATACACCGTGTAAACAAGTGTGTGTTTGTGGGGAGGGGGGGAGGGCAGACAGGGAAAAAAAGTATAAATCATTTTCCAGGTTGTTCCCCTTACTATTGGAGGCATAATGTTGGGAATTGTTTAGCTGTCCAAAAGCCGGATGGAAACATACAGATTAAGTAATGTACACATAGCATCCAACATAATGTTCTCCAATATCTGGCTTCCCCTCTTTATATGCTTTCATATGTCTCTGATTGGAGGGAATCAGTTGGCTGTTGGGTTGATCAGCCAAGCTTTTTTTCTGACTTCAATCATACCACATTGACATGATTCACTCCGGAATCCAGGATTCGTCCAAAGCCTTAGCGATTACAAAGTGTGCATGCTACTATAAATAACCAGATTTTAAAAAGTGTGTGTGTTTGGAGGGGGGGGGGTCTAAGCTTCTAGATAGCAATTGTGCTTCTGCACATGATGAAATTTCAAAGTGAGTTAAATACTTCTGTTAATGATACTTTCCACAGGATCATTTATTTTCAAAATAGATAATAGAAAAGTAATAGTGTGCACTCCAGTTGCTATGGATGACCTGATTTACAATTTACTGTGACATACTTGATTTAAGCAAATA